TAAATGTTAAGAAATACCGTGATATGGTAAAAGTGAAAGTAATGTTAAATATTTTTTTTTTTTTATTCGTGTGACTGTAAAAAGACCAAATCATGGTGAATATGTGTTAAAGGTTGAATGAATGTAGTTAGGCTCTCTGACGCTACACTTCAGAGTTAGCCACTTTCAGAATAGTACCTCAGGGTTTAGAGTTGAAGTTAGGGTGTGTTACGAGGTCTTGGTATGTTGAATTTTTAACACGTTAGTGTTTTGATTGTAGGAGGAAGTGTTGAACACGTATACATAAACACATTCGTGTTTGGTGTTCTTTTACAACACATGTCAGAGAGCACGGGGAGAGATAATTAAAATAGTCATGAATGAAATAAGAATGTTAAGAGAAATATAAATATGCATGTTACTTGCCATTTCATTGTGTAACATTTCATTAAACTAGTTTTCCTTCCAGATCTCTGGAAGGAACCAGATTTGAATAAAAGCTCCTGTTTAGATGCAGTACAGATGAAAAATTGCGTGTCCTGGAGCTGCTATTGTAAAAAACAAATTTCTTTTTTTAAATTTCTAGTTTCTAGCGAGAAATGTTTGTAAAAGATTGGCCTCGCGTTAGATTCTAGAGCTAAAAGTTTTCAACAAGGTCGTTTTAGACCTCAGTTTCAAACTAATTAACTCTGGCGGGAAGTATGTAAGGATCTTAAGTTTTACTAACGTTTATTTTATTTTAAATCTTTACTATCACTTCTTATTTTCTACTTCCGGCCAGAATTAAAAGCGTTAACTTATTTATGCAAAATTTGTCTGGCGAACGCCAAGTACTTAAGTTGTGGCTTTTTGCCAAGCGAGAGAGAGGAAGCAGTTAGTCGAAGCAGGCCGCTTACCTTAGAAGTTTTACTCAGTTGCTGGTTGCCTTCCAGGCCAGAGGTTTAATCCTCTTGATAATTTTAAACGTATTGTAGTGTTAACAGTTCTCTGTACTACATACGGCTTCCTGTTAATATAAGGCCAATCTTCCACGTTTATTATTTCAAAGTTAAGTTAGAGTTTAGTTTGTATTTTTATATTTTTACGTTTAGACCACAAGTAGTGGGTCTTTGTATTCCGAAGTACGGAATTTATTGTAAAGAGAGAAAAATAAAAGGGTTTTGTATACCCTTCTTGTGTATCCTGTCTACTTCCCACAGTTATTGAACATAGCTTTAGTAAGCTCTCTGTTCCGAGTCAGGTCCTTGCATGTTCCCGAAGAAAGTAAGACGGAACATTGAACCTGATAGCTTGTCTGAGGTGGGTCAGCATAAGTCACGGAACAATTGGTTCTGTAGCTCGGTGTGGGACGGCACCGGGCTTGCTAGATAATGTCCTGCTGTGAACTGCAACCTGAGTATTACTAACAGGCAGAAATTTTGACGACCAGTGAGATCTCCAAGTTCACAGTGCCCGGTCGCGGTTAAACCTAAGAACCGAGATTGGTGACCTTGCGATCCCAGGAGGTCGCGGTGGTCGTTGAGAGACAAATTTTAAATATATATAGTTTCCATATGCCACTTCGGATTGAGGGCCCAGAGCGGTAGCAAAGTTCCTTCCGAGGGATTTTTGATTGGCAGACCCAACCCTGCTTAATATGGGGGTTCTCAGCTGAGACCAATCCGTGTAATGCTTAAACGGAGCACGTATACAAGTACTTACTTAACGAGTCATTAGAAATGGCTAAAATCTGTTCTGCATGTGTTGGCAGTCGCTGCAGAAAAATTATTTAAGATTCTCACTCATTCGTCAGCCAGCCTTACTTCGCGTCTCCAGTAAGAGGCGTGACGGTTCTTTTTATCCCAAAGCTGCATCACGGAAATGAGGTCTCTGAGCTGCTGTTTCTCTGTATCGGCATATTGTGTACAGAGACGGTTTTTGATCGCTGTATATGGAGCCTCGGTTGGAGGGTTAAGAATAATGTCTCGCACAACTGCTAACTCCTCAGGTTGTAAAGCGGAAACTACGTCATGGAATTTTGTACACTCTTCTGTTACATGGGACAACGCGAACTGGTTTTCAATCTGCCGAAACCAGATTTCCTCGCCAGAAAGGAGGAGCTTTCACCAAAACATGTGCTATATTTCCAATGGCTTGAACTGTGCTGTTCTTTACCATTTTAGTAAATGAATAGAATACTTCGGAAGAGAAAATGACTGGTTGTAAGTTCCGATGAAGAAAAATTCACTCAAGCGTCGTGATTCGTCGATGGAATAAGATTCACAATTTTCAGTCCAAGAGTGTGCTACGACACCGGGTAATCAGTTTAGCATTTTACACTAAGTAGACATTTGAATGCTTGATAAAAACCTTATAAAGTAACATGCAAATTATCCATACTCATATTTGAATTTATTTTACATTAGTTGTTTATTAGAGCCTGGAAATATTACATTTCCGAAAATCGAAACAATAGGCGTATCTCCGAATATCAAGTCCAGAATGTCTCGGTCCGACAACTGTCTGCCTCTTCTCTCCTCGAGCCGCGTCATTCCCTCTTCTCCTTTGTCTTCATGCGATACGCGCCTTTCAAGAAATGTAGTCCGGTGATCGCTCCAGCCTTTAAATTAAATTACTCGTATATCTTTATTGGTTACAAGGCAAGTATCTTCGGGGAGGGATATCACTATAGTTTCCATTTTATTCCCTTCTTAATGCTTTAAAAGTTTCCAGTATTCTGTTTATTTGACTTAGTTTCTCTGCTTCTCGTCTATCGATCTGCATTTGCTGTTTAACTTTGAATATTATAATTGAGTCGAATTTCATTTAATTATCACTTATACATCTAGAATACCTGGATCTTAGAAATAAAAAGACTTCCAATTAACATGCATTTCCTGATAATGAACAAAAACCTTTTCCTGTGAGTATCCCTTTTCCGTGCTTTTCTGTTTTAAGGTATATAGACATACATCCCTTTGAAACAGCCGCATGTTCTTCCTTGTAACATGTACATTCTGTTGCTGTTTCTGAGCACGCGCTACTGCATTTGAACATTTCATGTGCTATTTTGAATTGATGAAATTCGACAGCTTTGTGTTCTCGGATGCTGTTGATAACTTTTGTATTGTGTACGTCCATATTTTGATCTGTATGTCTGAACTTAGTCGTTAAAATAAACTTCCGCTAATGTGTTTGATTAGACTCTAAGCTTATATTTGTTCCCTATGCTGCAATTACTTTTTAGAAATCTTCAGTTTTAAACGTATGTTTAATCTATTAATTTATTGGTTAAAATGAGCATTTTGCCCAGAAGAACTATTAATTTCGTTTTGGTATTTCGCGTTGAAATGTCGGTTCACTTTTCAAATTGTTGCCACCAAATATTAGAGCCTGGTTTTATATTTAAAGAAATTAAATAATGCAGAATATGCATAAATTTATGTACGTTTTTAGCATTGTGATAAAACAACGGGGCCTAGAGCCATCAAATTTTGAATAACATAATCCTCCACCGAATATGGACATTTGGAAGGCCTAATTTGGAATTTGTTTTATTATTTATTTCATATTTTATCAGACATTATAGAATTTTTGATTAACAAACTCAGCCATTTCAAAGGAAAAAATGGCAATACTGTACACGGGAAAAAAATGTTCCCGTCTACAGTATTGTCCAGCGCGTGAGACTGTGTATGGGAAATTTTAAAGATGTGCTTGCTCACTTTAAAATTATCTTGCGAATTGCTGTTGAACTAAATTTTATGGTTTAAGTGCGAAGAGCATATTTTAGAAATAAAGGCAACACAGAAAACGTTAAATAGAGTTTACATTTGGGCGTAATTGTAAAATCTGAAAGCTTACAGATTTTTTTTTAAATTTTATTTTTAGATAGTTTGTGTGTATTTAATTTTGGCAAAGCACACTAGGGCTATCTGCCTAAGGGGAGGGATGCCTTCGTGGAGGACTTTCTAAGGGAAACTGGCTCGTATACACGTTACACATGGGGAAAACCACGAAAACACCCATGCAGCCAGCCCGTTCGCGGGATTCGAACCTCGGACCGAACTACCAGTGTTCAGCGACTTTACCGCTCGGCCGCTGGTGGGCTCTAGATAAATTTGATTTTCAGAAAGCATACGAAGGCTATCTGTCTAAGGAGAGGAATGGCGTTTATGGAGAACTTTCGAACTAGAGGACTGGTATTCACGATATAAATGAGGGAAACCAATGTATAACCTTCAGGTATTATGAAAAGTTACAACCAGAATTATTTCTATTCGGCCCTTATTTTAAAATTTTACATGCGGACCTTGCCCTAGCAAAGTGCTTTGAGAAACCGGTTACAAATTTTAAACCACAACTCAGAAATATTGAGAATCCAGTAAAACATAATAAAATTTATTAATTGTATATTCAATAACCTACATTTATAATTTATGTGCGTTCAACCACACATGACATTTAACCGTCTTTTGGGTTGATACATTCACCGCAATCCTTTCACACGCTTTTTCATTGTTTTTTAATTGCCTCCGCTTTCCAAATTAAATCTTGCTGTTATGTGATGCCAGCTTTCTACGTTTCATGTCATATAAATTTCTCAAAACCATCGAAAAGTTTTCAGTTTTCTCACACAAGAGCCATTGGCTCCAGAGATTACATTAAAAAAATAGTTTGGATATGATGTAAATACATCTAAAATTATGTAATTGTTTCAATTAGTGCAAGTTTACATTCAACAGCTTACAGATACTTCGCGTAAAAGAAACGAAATGCAAAGGATAGGCGCAGCAGTTCATAAGAATCGTTGCAAGTTTAAGCGAACTCTGACATGAAATAAATAGATTAAACTGTTCGTTTCTGGCTCTGCGCCAAAAAGCTGTTGCAATTTTCTGGGAAACCACGCCAATATCCAGACAAGAGTACTAGAAAACCTGCCTAGAGAACCAATGAGCGAGGGTCATAAATTGGTTTTGCGACTGCTCATGCCTGGCACGATTTAGGTCAGGAAGTTGCCGCATCTGTGTGGAATTCTTGTGTGACGTCAAAGGTATAAATACCGTGTAGGATCTATAATCGTATCTTAATTTAAAGAGAATGTCTGTCTCTGAAAGTATGTTTTTAAGAAATTAATAAATAAGCTTTAGTAACGTATATTTATAGAGTCTTTGGCAGGTTTTAACGATTGAACGCTAAAATAGTACACGAATTACAAGCATCTAATGTGATTCGTTGCCGCCAAACGTTTCAATGATTGACAGTTCGTTTGGTAAGCAGCGTTTAAGTTCGAACTCTACACAACGCAGCACTTGGTTTGAAAAAAGTACATTAAACATTTTCGGCCTTTTGCTGACGAACGTAGTAGATTTTACTTCATAATTACACATTTAGTTGGGTTATATAAGTATTTTATTTGTATACTATTAACGAAGTTGTTACAATTTTTCACATTTTGCTGGTTATATATTCGTATAGACTGCCAGAATCAGACTGTGACTATTTTAATTACATAACATTTCGAATGGAATAAAAATGACGTGAAAGTGATGATTCCAGTGTTCTTATAAAATATGTGTAATGGAAAGTTCTGAATAACACTGTATAAGTTTCTTAAGATAGAAAGATCACTTTAATAACGTATTTCCATGAAATTACAAACTTGCTTTATGATTAGGTGAAACGATGAGTGAGTTGGAGCTTGAAAACAGTGGTACTTGTAGTAGTGGTGCTCTGATGCCGCCTCAAGATACAGAGAGACCATCTCTTAAGAAGTAAGATAACAAACCTTAAGTTATTCTTTTCATTATGCATTGTACTTATCCCTCCACTGTTATCCTTATACTCTTGTATTCGAAATCTCCTTTCTATGAAATGAGTAGAGAGTCTGTCATGTATTTCTTTGGATTATAAACAGTTTGTCATTGATATAAATACTGGTCGTTGTACAAGATTTATACATAGTTAAGTATGTTATTTATATACATAGAAATCGCTTTTATTAGTATTTTGATAAATTGTGAATTCTGTAAACTTGACACTTATTTTATAATGAACTTAGAAAATTAAAATATATGAATATATAAACTTAACCCGTATACAGTATAACTTTATATTTCTGAGGTGATTCATAATGCTATTGAAATTTTGTTTGAATTCAGGTGGTTTCATTCTGTGCTATATAAATCTATAATTTAAAACTTGTTTATGCTTTTGATGTGATTTTTAAATTAGGAATTATTCTCAAGAGCAGATTTTAATTTGTTAGCATATATTTATATTTAAAATGCAATTCTGTTCCTCCTCAATAGCTGTTCCTATATATTTTTTAATATTTTATATTTTCTATAAGTAGGAATTTATCATTTTTGAAATAAAGTAGAAAACAAAGTGATATTTTTTACTCATTTGTATGTGCATATAAAATTACTTAGTAACCTCTACATTTTAGTAATCTGTGACCTATACATCTGTGACATTTGCTGTCAGTTTTCTTTTATTCTTCTACCTCGGATATTTAAAGGGACAGCATAATTACTTGCTGCTGAATAATGAGATTGCCTTTTTGAAACATACTGAGCTAACAGTTATCTGTAGTTAACTCAAAATTTTAATGTTTAAGGAAATTTTTATTTCTTCTAATTTTTTTATTTTTCAATTAATATATATTGGAAAAAGTAGTAAAGGAGCCTGTGTTTCCTGCTGCTTTAAAAGTTTGAGGAGGGTATTTTCTTTGTTAAATAATTATCCACAGAATTCTAAGCTCTGCAAGAATATTTATCTCATTATTATATTCATATTCTTATTTTTTATTTCGGTGTTGTTCTTTAGAGTAGCTGAAAGTGTAACTGTATCCTGATCTAGTCTCAATAACTGAATGGGTAGGCTATTTTACGTAATATAAATATGTCAGCTTTCCTTAAAAACTTCAGTTTTTCTTGAAAAGTTACCAGCTGGTGGCTTTTGTTCTGAGTTAAGTAGTCCCATAGTGTTTTGCTGTAAGAATATTACAGCAAAATTAAGTTTGCATTTTCTTCAATGTCTGCTCTCCCTTCATTTAGTGTTTTGGAATTTTTGTCAACTGAACAATCTTTTTTTATGTAGTAATGAATTCTGTATTTCTTTTCAGCTATTGGAATTCCTGATTGTGTTTATTGTACAGTAGTTCTAAAAAACAAACATCATGCTTTTATATTATTTGGCAGGTCTAGGTTTCAACAGATGATACACTTTCCAAATTTCTAATGAAAATGTATTCTACATATTTAGAGAGAAACTTGTTTTTCATTTGGAATTTATCAGTGCAAGAACTTTACTTCTTATTATCCTAAAGTGAGCAAAAGCAGGCTTTCTTTTAGGCCAGATTGTTAGGTATTTTGGATCTGTTTCTAGTTTGACATTGGTTTGTATGTAAGCAGCTACAGATGCCATTTCTGCTTACAATGTCTGAAGCAATTTGAATTATACGTCTCTGATCATTTTAACCAAGTTACAGTTGGAATGTTCTGCAGCTCTGCTTTGTTGAGGTCTATACTTATCTGAAGGCATATAATGCTCTCCCTGCTTTAAATTTACCTGAATTTCTAAGTTCTGACTTTTTTGGCATTATCTCTTGAGAGAATTTAAGTTGCTTTTCTACCTGTTTTTCAGCCTGTATTTGTTAAATATTTGAAGAGGTTCTGATCTTTTTACTAGGGCATCTAATAATTTTCCATAATTTGTCATGTATGTACATTATAAAATATTTTACGCAACCTAAAGATTTAAATTTCATTACACCACAAATATCCATGTGTACAAGTTTGAGTATGTTATATGGTTTACTGCCTCTGCTTCTTTTGGGACATGGATACTTTCATTCGACCTAACTTTAAGGATGTATGCTTTCATAAAAATCCCTGTAGTTTAATTAAGTATAAATTAATTAAGTATAAATTTATATTATTTATTAATTTAATTAAGTATAAAATTTTGATAAATTTAATTAAGTATAAATTTTTGATATCTTCTATGTTCTTATCATTTATAAATTTTAAACTAATTTGTTTTTAACTTCTGTAATTCAGTCTATTAAAAGTTACCATTATTGATTTTATATAATTTGATTGATGAATAACTTTTATTAATGAAAGAAACATCACACTTGATAAATCGAAATTTTATTTATACAGAATTATTTAAGACAAAATGCAGACAGAGATCTTAAAAAAATGAGGGTTAATTTCTAATCTATTTAAATTCAGAAAGATATTTTAGCTGGAATTAAATGATAGGATATAAACTGAAAATTTATATTACCATACTTACCTTGGTTTGTGCCTTGAGTAATAATGTGAAAAGTAGTATAAATAATATCTTTGAGAACTATAAATAGTATCACCTTATTTTTAATATATATTCACAAATGCTAATAGTAATAAATATCCACATTTGGGGGGGGGGAAACCGCTAAGTTTGCAGTGATTTGAAAAGTTGTCATTAGCGTGAATTAATCAGCAACATACAGTATTTAATACATACAGAAAATGTATACATTATTTTGTTTTTTAAATTATACAATTTATTGTTAAAAGGAAATTTAATAGCATATTCTATGGTATAAATTAAATATAATTCATAAACTGGGATAAATGTATGAATGAACAGTGCACCAATGAATGAAAAATAAAATTATCATCGCAGTGGAATATACTGTTGAATTATATTACTAAAATGCGATACCTTAGAATGCAAATATGCTGTTGAATTATATTACTAATATGTAATACCGTAGAATGCACAGAAATAATACAACACACTTCTAAACGAAAGCCAATTTTACACTTTTTAAAAGAATATGCTAGGTAACATGTATATGGTTATCGTTTTTATTTTATTTATTTAATTCACAGAGGACAGCTTGTTCAATATTCCAAGTTAGTGTTACATATATGTGGCAACACACTAGTTACTGGTCAAACTGAAGTGAAGTAATTGTCAGTTAATGTTTGTGTGGAATAAACAGTGTGCTATGTGAAAGTGTTGTAATGAACTTAATTATAGATCGATAAATATTAATATGAGTAAAACATGGCAAAGTCATGTGGAATAGTATTACAACTAATTGCCAGGCAATGAATCCCCTTGGTTGTTTTTCCTCTCAGCAGACGCAAGATGGAATTTTGTCGCCCAGCGCAAGGCCTAAGTTTCGACGGCAATGTGGCTGAAAACTGGCGCAGATTCAAGCAGCTGTTCCAGATTTATATGAAAGCTTCAGGAAATGCTTCAAAAGATTCAGATGTGAAAGTTGCTTTATTTTTAAATGCCGCTGGTGAGGAAGCAGTTGAAGTGTTCAACACGTTCAATCTTTCAACAGGAGATCAGGGTAACTATGAAAAAGTGCTTGAGAGGTTTGAAGCTTTCACGACACCTAGAACAAATGTTGTGGTGGAGAGATTTTTATTCAATAAGAGAAAACAAGAAGGGGAACTTTTTGATTGTTTCGTAACTGACCTGAAAAAAACTTGTAAAATCTTGCGAATTTGGTGAGCAGAGTGACTCTGTCATACGTGATCGCATTGTCCTTGGAGTATCAGATGCCAGTTTACAGGAGAGGATGCTGCGAGAAAATAATCTGAGTTTGGAAAAAGCAATTGAATTAGGGAAAGCAGCTGAATTGAGCAAAGCTCGTGCTCAAACGTTAAGAGAACACAATGTTGACAGCGTAACTAGAGAAAAAGTGAAGCAACATCGGACAGGAGGAGCCAATGCAGCCTTAGCAGTGAGGAAGCACAGAGGATGGAGTGATGACACTTCAAATACTGAGACATCTTTATGTAAAAAATGCAACAGACATCACGTTAATGGACAGTGTCCGGCATATGGAAAAAAAAATGCTTTAATTGTGGCAAACTAAATCACTTTTCGACTATGTGCAGACTGAAGCACATCCAAAATGTTTCTCAGCAGCATGATAACGCAGATGTATATAGGGAATCTGATAATGAATTCTTCGTGAATTCCATAAATGTTCAAAGAACTAAAAGTGTGTGCTCAACATCATCTACAAAAGAGTGGACTAAAACTTTAATTGTTGAAGGGACAACTGTGACTTTTAAGTTGGACACAGGGTCTGAAGTGAATGTTTTTGCCTGTGAAAACTTACGAAACACTGAGTGCTAAGAACTCTAATCTTATTTTAAACAAGTGTAATGTTGTATTAGAAGCATTTGGGGGGTCCAAGGTTAAACCTGATGGGTCATTAATGTTACAATGTTCCTCAGATGGTGTGGATCATACTCTAGAGTTTTTAATTGTTTCTAGCAAGCATATACGTCCATTATTAGGAATTGATGCATGTGTTAAACTTAATTTAATTCAGTTTATAAATAAGGTTGGAATATCAATTAAAGGTAAGTTGGATCAGTATACAATTGTTTTACCTCCATCTAAAGATCAATTTATTATTAATAATTCAGAAGTGTTTGAAGGTGTGGGGAAATTTAGTGGATTGTGTAAAATCATGGTTGATGATCAGATAGCTCCTGTAGTGAGACCACCACGTAGAGTACCACTTAGTTTAAAACCTAAACTTGAATTAAAATTAAGCGAATTAGAGAGACAGGGCATTATTGCAAAAGTTGATCAACCTTTGAACTGGGTTAGCAATCTAGTAATAATTGAAAAAGCTAATGGATCCTTAAGAATATGCCTTGATCCTCAAGATCTTAACAAAGCTATAAAAAGAACATGTGTTGATTCCAACAATTGAGGAGATTTTACCAAAGCTATGTAA